CGGTACACGTCCGCGGCTCAGAGGCAGGAGCGTGGGTGGGAACCCAGCCCAGGTGCCTGGCTTCTGCTGGGGCTGGGTGCCAAAAGGGAGTTGGAGGAAATGATCTCTGGGGCTTCCCTTGTGCTCGCGCTTGCTCTGGAGGAGACCGGCCGCCTGAGGACACACAGGTGTGCAGGTAGAGGGATGCTTTAAAAACATAAATCAGATCACATCGTTCCTCTGCTCAGAATCCTCCCATGGGTTCCATCTCTCTCAGGGTTAAAGCCACAGTCCTCCGTAATCTGTCCCACCACCTCTCTGCCCTCACCTCCCCTAACTCCCTGGCTCACATCCTGTGCTAGCCACACTGGCATCCTGGCTGCTTCTCCAAACTCCAGGCACATTCCTGCGTCAGGGCCTTTGCACTGGCTGTTCCCTCTGCCTGGAACTCTCTCCATTTAGAGTCAGCACCAGTGCTCTCTCATCTCCTTCAAGTTTCAAATGTTCGAATGTCCCCTTCTTGGTGGGGTCTTCCCAATCACCCTATTGAAAACTGCAAACAGCCCTATCCCACACTCTTCTCCCTCTCATTTTATTTTCCCACAGCTTTTATCACCTTCTAACATCTAATACAATTTAGTGATTTCTTATATCTCTTGATTATTATCTCTTGATTATTATTATTATTTCTCCCTTTTCCTTGACACACATGTGAGTGTCAATGCCGCAAGGGTAAGTTTTTCCTGTTGTTTTCTGAGCACCTAGAACAGCTTCAGGAACATAGTAGGTGCTTGATAAATAATTTGTTGAATGAAGACTAATATTGGCTGTGAGGCAGGTATTTTTATATTACCTCTATATTACCTGGGGGATCAGAATTGGCCATGCCAAAATGTGTCTCTTTGGCTTGATTATTTTTAGGAACAAAAGACTCTGAAAGAAACTTTGACTTTCCCCCTAACTGCCTAAAATAACTTAAAATAGACGGGCCTGTTCCAGGAAGGAGCTAATACCATGAGATAACTGTAATGTAGTGTAAAATGTGTCTCTCAGGTCACATTGTCTACAGTTGGCCCTTTGCATTTCCATCTCCATGTAAATTGCCTTCGTCCCCCTTGAAGTCCCAAACCACTACCCCCAACATCCTCCTTTGTCTTTATCTGCAAATGGTATTTAAGGTGGCAACTTCGGCCATTCTGGTGAGTTACTCAGTTTTCCTGGGTTTCTCCCATGTATCCATGTTATAAAGCTTTGTGTGATTTTTCTCCTGTTATTCTGTCTCATGTCAATTTAATTCTCAGACAAGCCAAAAAAGGACCTAGAGGGTAGAGGAATTGTCTTCCTGCCCACTTTGGAGACTTGGACAGGATAAAACTTAGCAGGCTGGATCCTGCTCACTCTTGGACTGCTGCAGCCAAGAGATCCTGGACCCCTGACAAGAGCCGGCAGGAGGTAGGAGTTCTTACCACATCAGTCTCCCAGATCTCTGCCTGCAGAGTCCCTTGGAAGCGAGATTGGTGAGTTTTTTTTTCCTTTTCTAAATTTAGATTAGCAGGAGAAAATATTGGTGAAGCTAGCTTCTTGGACTCAGCAACTCTAGGAAATTTGGTTTGAATACTCATTGGTTAAAATCCTTCTCCCAGTTCAGAGATGGGCTCTGAACTGTTTTGCCTGTTTCTGTCTTTTGCGTTGTTTTTCATAAAAGGGAAAAGCCATAAGGGAAGACACAGGCATCTCTATAAGCCTGTTGTCTGGGAATATGCACATGAAGTGAAAGCTGTTGCTAAGGGCATCTTGGAAACCAAAAGGGCCACAAATTCAGCAGTTAGGAGCTGCTCTCGCCACCTCAAGTGGACCCCCATTATAGGATAAGTTGGTCATGGAACAGGGTAGATGACACAGGTCCCCTGCCAACTTCAAGAAAATGTCCATGCAATGACGAGGTACTCTGTAAAGCACACACGATCCCCAACCCCACAGCACCTCCCTCCTAGGTATTATTCTGGCTCCAAGAGACCCAAGGCTTAGCTAAAGCGGTTAATGTGCATATAAGATGAGGTTTTTTTCTTTTGTCTTTTTCTGTCTTGAAGGCTTGGCTTTGTAATCTTTCTGGTCTCTGCCATCTGGAGGATGCACATACCAGCACGCATCTTGGTGGCCAGTCAAATAGACTGGGGTTCTGAGACGCACTCTATTTGTCTGGCTGTGTCAGCTCTCAGGGGAGTTTGTCATAAGGGGTCCCAGCTGATTTCATAAGAGGCCTTTGTTGTTTCAGCCTTCATTGCTTGTTCACTCTGCCTGTGCAATGAAGGCCTTTGCTCTTGTAGACTATTTTTGGGAGTGAATTTTCTGGATCTTATGAGGGCTGCTTCTTTTGCACTCTCTTTTGGGGACACCTCTTGTGTCCATGGGTAAGCCATAAAGGCTTATTGGTTTGAGTGGCTATTAAGGTCCTTCTCATCAATGTGGCCAGACGATGGATCGTTTAAATTGGAAAAACTTCTAAATTGAAAAAAAGAAAGTTTTTTTGAGAGCTTTCATCATAATTGTTTTATTGGTACCTATGAAAAGACCAAATTAAAAAGTAATTAAAAAAATAACTATTAACCTTAAGACCCTGACTCGGACTACAATTAAACTGAGAAAATGTAAAAGTATAAATGTTCATAAGATTATAAAGGTCAGAATGTTTGAGCCATATTTATGTAAGGAGGTTATATCAACTTTGCCTGAGTATGTTTGAAAAATGTCTGACTGGGAATGCTTCCCCTGTCCAAAATTATAAGACCAGGACCTATTGATAAAGTCCTAATGAAAGCTATGGTTAGAGGTATAAGAGTTGGTGGAATTCAGATGAAATTCTGTAGGGAAACTGATATATTTATAGGCTTTTATGTGAAGTGATTGTATCTCTTTTTGCCTGATTGTATTATAGATTGTATTGTGGGGATAGACATTGTGTCTCACTGGGGAACATTTCCCCTGCCTGATTGTAAGACAGCATATAAATCTGCACTTCAGACAATGGTAATTAAACATATTAAAGGGAAGTCCATAAGTTGCCTGAGCCCACACAGTATGAGATAAAAACCAGAGGCTAATATTGGGTGCTAATAAAAAAAGGTAATCAAAGCTTCCCCTCCCCCAAGATAGATTGGTCTAGGGTTAAATTGTACACTTAGAAAGAGGGCCTTTGTTAAATGCTTTATGTAGACTTTTAAAGGTGTGGTACATTGTCCTAAAGTTTTAAAATGGTAGCTGTGGAGTCTTTGAATATGTGTGTCTATATGTATGTTATATATGTGTGATATTTTACCTCCAGATGGTATGGCCAAAATTAAGAGCTCTGTTTAATTGGCTTAAAGTAAGAGATTACATAAATTATTTCTAAATGTAATAGAAACTAACCCAAATATCTTTCAAGTTAACATGATATAAAATAATCTTTGGTGAATGAAAGCTTATTTAAGTTTCTTGGTTTGATTAAAACAGGCATGTCCTCAGAGTTGTCAGCCTTGGATACGATGCCGACATGCAGCCTGGATTTACTAGTCAAATAAGCTTGTGTTATCCCTGTTACAAATTTGTGAGCCTAATAATTTAAAATGGTAGCTAATTTTGTCTAATGTCTCATGAAGTTTTCATGGGTATTCTAAACATAGTTGTTGGGAACAAATAATTTAGATGTAAGTGAGATAAGAGTTTATAGATAAACTTTTAGCAATAATTGTAGCTTATGGCATATATATTTAAAATAAATTCCAATATCTCTTTGGTAACTGAAACTTTGAAGTTTTGCTAGGTTAATTTAAATGATAAAAACTCATTGAGTGTCTAGATCATTTCCAAATAAGATAAAATACTAAAACATTAATTACTAAACATGTCTAAGTTTACGTACTTTTGTCTTATTACAGAGAAACTGAAAAGTGTTTGGGTCTATTAGAAAACATGTCTTGTGTCTTATTAAAAGATTGTGCTATAAAGTAGCATGTTTCTAGAAATTATAAAAAGTATTTATAAATCTGCCAAGCCAGAGAATGCTAATGTAAAAGACAGTTCATAATTGCTTGCTTACTTAGTTTTCACTAAAAATTAAGGTTTCCAGGAGTTTAAAATTCTAATGTGATTAAAGCTGCTAAAAATTAATAAGGAAAACATCTTTGTATTCAAGGAAAGTAAGATGTATGTTTTCAGTAAAGAAGGTATAAATAATGGAAATATTTTTGTTCTGTTAAGAAAGATAAATTTGTCCTAAAGTATTAGAAGGGAAGAAAGAAGGCATGGGACATATTCTGAATGTAAAAAGAAAGTTATAGAAGGTTTGTGAAAGAGGAGTTCTGACAAAAAAGAGTTTTGTATGTGGTTAAGTTGGCTAAGATTGAAATGAATTTAATTAAGTAAATAAGTTTTAATATAAAAAGTAAGCTGGTAGAAAAATTAGAATTTGGTTTTCTCTGTCTTAAAAGGATAATCAAAACTTTTATTCTGCTTATTTATTTACTTATTTATTTATTTATTTATTTAGTGAGGAAGATCATCCCTGAGCTAACATCCGTGCTAATCCTCCTCTTTTTTGCTGAGGAAGACCAGCTCTGAGCTAACATCTATTGCCAATCCTCCTCCTTTTTTT